ATGGGTGAAAGAGCAGCAACGAGTGAGGTGATCAATCGACTTGTGAGTGCACTTGACGACGAGAATTCTTATGTCAGAAGTAGTGCATGTGAGGCTCTCGGTAAGATGGGTGCAAAAGCAGCAACGAGTGGGGTGATCAATGGGTTTGTGTGGGCACTTGACGACGAGGATCCCTATGTCAGAAGGAGGGCATATGACGCTCTCGGTAAGATGGGCGAAAAAGCAGCAACGAGTGAGGTGATCAATCGACTTGTGGGGGCACTTGGCCACGAGGATTCCTATGTCAGGGATAGTGCATGTGAAGCTCTGGGTAAGATGGGTGAAAAGGCAGCAACGAGTAAGGTTATCAGTCGACTTGTCAGTGCACTGGAATATGGTTGGCTTGCCGCTGGAGTCTTCTCTTGGAAGGATAATATGTTAAATTATCTCTCTGTGCTGTCAGCATTAGCAGTGTTTCATGATAAGGAAGTCGCAGCTGCTGATGCTGTGGTAACTTATATGAGATGTATTGAGACGAGATCGATCTTACCTCAAAGACTTCTGAAAGTTTATATGGATACAACAGAGTTAATATGGCTACCTGGCATTGTTTATGCCTTCTTTATCAATGGAGCTGCAGCCACTGGCTTTGGAAATATAATATGGGTTTATGAGAGAGAAGGAGTTACGCAGATACCCATTAGTAATCAGCAATTGCTTGTTGAACTTCGGAAAGGTTTTGCCAAGGTGATGGGCTATGTTGATCCTAAAATTCACAAATGTTGTAATTTATTGTGAAAGCGAAAGTTACATGATGCTACATAACATTTCATTGGAGATCCATAAGATGGGGATTGGTGATACAACAGTTGAGAGTGCAAGTGTTAACCTTAATATCAATCGTTGATTTAGTAGGTGCTTTTAGATATTCGTAGAGTTAGAATCTAGAATTCAGTTTTTTTTGCATACTAATCATGTGCAAGTTAACTTATCCCTTTGGTTAGTTAATGGCTTTCTTTCATCTCCTAGTCTGGTCATTATATTTCTGTATACTTGGCTATCCGATCCCTGTTTTATTGACATTCAGAGTCAAGTGAGAGAGGCATTCGTTAATCATGATTTGGTAATGACAAATCTATCTAAGTGTGGAATGAATAGTAAAATAGAGAGAGCACTTTTTGTACATAGAACATCACACATTAGATGATTATAGTTTTTGATGAAGGATCTCCGAATGTAATTGACTCATGGTGTTATTATGTGCTCACTAGATAGCGACAACATTCCTCAGATCCGAATACCACAACAATTATGTTGAATGATTTGTGGTTCTGTTCCTTCATCAGAAGATTAAAAGCTGTGCATTAAAAGAGAAATGAAAAGCGATCATGGCTTTTTAGACACAACTATTCTTCTGTGTCTAGTCGCTTCTGAACAAGTCGCTTTTGTGTTCGTTCATTTTTCATATATTGACTCGTTTTTGTGCCGAAATTTGTTGATCATCGTAGTCGTGTTACTCTCTCAACGTGTATAGTGAAGACTAACTATATTTTGTTTGCATATTCTTTTTCATTTGTTTTGTTTTGCCTATGTTGTATTTGTGTGTAAAAATATTGAATAAATGCTCTAGATTTTTCATATATGATTCCCCTAGATAGTTTCTGCTTTGGAAATACTCCCGATAATGTAATGTTCCACGATCATAGAATGATTGAATCTTAGTCTTGAACAAAAACAAAACTAGAACAAATTCTTATTCAACTAGCGGATGAACGTACAGATCGTTACTCGTAATCGATACCAATCGAAACAAAAAGAGGTTAATGAAGTAAACAACACATTCGTGACATTCTCTTCAACATATTGATTTATGAGTTGTCATTGGCATTGTTTTCTCTCGGAATGTACAATTCGTCTTTTCATTAGATTTTTTTAATGTGTCAACCAACTATGATCACTCAATCTTACTGATGAGCTCACTATTTGCTTATGTCATACTATAGAATATTTTTGAATCTGCGTTGTATGTATTTGTGTAATCGGTCACAGGTTCATTCCACTTAGTTTGATACGTTTTAATAAAACAAGAGTTGCTCTATGGTCGTAGATCGTTGATTTACTATTGTATAGCAAGTAAGTGAACAATCAATTCATCTTCGTCCTTATCCGTGTCTTGTTATTCGATATTTTCATTTGTTCATCACAATCAGTACTGAAACAATTTCTTTAATACTGAAAACTATCTAAATACATAGATCTTTTTTCATCAGTATTTCATTTATATTCGTTCTATGGATGAGAATTTTATCAGATATTGCTTTGATACTATTAATTAACATACAAAATTTAGTTGTTTTTTTTGAGATCACTTCATTCCTAAGTTGAATCAAGTTGGTTTCT